TAGAATCTCCTGCCCATGTGTACCTTCCATGGCATGGAAAGTTACTAGTCTAGGGTGGAAGAGAGGCCATATAATCAGTCCCCACCCCCCACAGACAAATGAAGTTCTAGGAGTATCTAACAACAACTGGGTCGACAATGGAGGGTATGTGCAACAGAAGGAAAACAGGAAGAGACAACAAAATGCCTCATGCTTTGAAAAAAGCATCTACGGGAAACAGTGTTGCTTGCTCTATAATAGCAAAAATCTCATTAGAAATCACTTCTATACTCCACTTTATAATGTATCATCCAAGTCAGGCCTTAAAAGTGGGGTGGGATGCGAGGGATGGTTATGTCTTTACCTGCAAGGCTGAAAAGCAAAAACAAAACAAAACAAAAGCCAAGTAAATGCATAGTTATGCCTCTAAATTTCTAAGTCTTGTCTCAGAATTTGGTTAGTCTTATATGGAGCCCTCACCAAACCACAGGCAGGGAGGATCCAGCTTCATAAAACACCTACCACTGATCCTGCTGGGCTCAAAGGAGGGAGGTGCTTCTACCAGCAGGAAGGGAGGTAACAGCAGAACCACTGAGCAAGTAAAGCCGCTGGCTGTCCCAGCTGCTTCCTGGACAGTGGCAAATAGATACAGGAGATCAGAAGACACAAGGATGCAGGCAGGTATAAAGCACAGTAGAGAAACAATTTGAAAAGCCTTAGTGGAACCCTGAGAGTAGCTAAGCTTTCAGATTTCTGTCTCTGTTTCATGTGCAAAGCCAGATTATGGGGAGGGAATCAACTTGGATTCCCTATGAGGTCTTTTCTCTCCGTCACTCAGACAGTCTTGCTTCCCCACCAGAGACACTGTGAGAGCCAGATGTACCCTGCACGGGCAGAGGTTTGTACCACAGGAGAACTACCCCAAATTATGAATCTTGGGAGTGTCTCCCTTGTAAGATTCTTTTAAAGTAGAAATAGCCTCACAATCCTAAAACAGATGAAAGGTCAGACAGACACATTCTCTCCCCAGTTCACATGGACTGTTTAATAATGGGCAAGAAGCAGAACAAGCCCCATTCTTAACCATGTTTTATCATGAATTGCCAAATGACTTATGGCTCTGATGGTGGGGACCTCCACCAAGTAGAAGAAAGGGATTAATCAAACCCAGTGGGCTTCCCTGGTGGCGCAGTGGTTGAGAGTCCACCTGCTGATGCAGGGGACACGGGTTCGTGCCCCGGGCCGGGAAGATCCCACATGCCACGGAGCGGCTGGGCCCGTGAGCCATGGCCGCTGAGCCTGTGCGTCTGAAGCCTGTGCTCCGAAATGGGAGAGGCCACAACAGTGAGAAGCCCGCGTACTGCAAAAAAACACAAAACAACAACAACAACAAAACCAAAAATCCCCCAGTATATCAGGAGGCCCAAAGCAGGCACTGAGGACACTTACTGTGGGCGAGCCTCTTACAAATTCTTGGTATAAATTACTATTTAAAATTTTTGGTTTGTGAAGAATATTGCACATGGGATCCAGGATAAGGGAAGAGTCAGGAAACCTGTCACTGTGCAACACACATGGGAAAATGACCAGAAAACACATTCTTTCAGCATTTAAGTTCTAGATCCACATACATTTTCCTTTCTACAGCAGCCCTAATCACAAATGAAAGATTACTTTCACTTTAAATATTAGCAAAGGTTATTTCCTTGCATGTTTGAGAAACAGATGAAAGGACTGAGTACACACACCCAAAAATACTGGAACCAACTCCTCTCCCCACCTGTCTGCTGTCCTGATTTCTCCAGGTCAGCCACACCCAGGATTCCCCTTTTCTCATGCCGAGGCTTTCAAGTTTTCACAGGTTGGAATGTAGCATGAGCAAACCCAAAGATTTTCAGAAGAGAATGATCTTATTTTCCTAAAAGAGCTTTCAGCCTGTCAGACACCTTCAAGGGTATTTTTCATTTTTAGCTTATAGGCATCTAATCATTTTAAAAACAACCATAAAAATCAAAGCTACCTGTCACTCTTAAATCTTAATGACTTCTAAGTTATGCATGGCATGGTTGACAAGCCAGGTTGGTGTTTTTTCCCCCTATGCTGAGCACTGAGGGCAAAGAAAGCAAGATGCTCTAGTTCTGCCATCTATTAAAAAAGAATAGCCATACTATTCCATTTTGATTCTTTATCACAAATGTATGTCAGGGAGATTAAAACAGTCCCTCTAGTCTTGGAAGACACTTTAGGATGAGGATATTTTTTCTAAGATGATGTGCTGGCAAAGTTATAGCAGTAGTAAGCAAAAATGTGTTTCCAGATCAATCCCTGGAGAAGAACCCATGGACAGTGCAAGGAAAAGGAGCTTAAGTGACAGAATTCAACCTGTAATTTTGAAGAGAGGACCATGGCCCACATAGGTAAAGTGATCTGCCTGAGGCCAAACAGAGCCAAGATGACCCTTCTAGAGTTCAGTGCTCCTGCCCCCACAGCTCTAATCCTCTGTGCACCTCTGCAGGATGGTGCAGTCCTATCAAATATTCTGGGGCTGTGGTTACAGCTATGGGCACTGAGGCTGTAAACAGCAGAGCCTGCAGCTCACCATTCATGCCTGATGACAGGACTAAGTGGAGGTTCAGACGCCTGCCTTAACACACCAGAATTTAATTTGTTAAAATAAAAAAGTGCTGTCAGTACAACACATGTAGGGCATTTCTCACAAGGCAAAAAGTTCTGATTCTCCTCTCCTGTAAGACATTCTCAAGCCTGGGTAACAGAAACCACATAGCTCAAACAGCAGCAGTAACACTTAGAAGATGCTCTCCAATAGCAAAATAATGCAAGGCACATATGTAATTTAAAATGTTCTAGCACCCACATCAAAACAGTGTAAGAGAAACAGGTAAAATGAGTTTTAGTACCTTATGTAACTTAATATATCAAAAATGTTATTGTTGCAATGTATAATTGATACAAAATTTGAGATTTCATTCTAAATGTTACTTACTTAGGGGATCCTCCTTTCAACAGACCTTTTTTTCTGTTTTTACCAAGTGATGTTAACTGGCAGACATACTCCAGCCCAGACTCACAGTAAAGGCATTTATTGGGTAGGTACCACAGGCTAGACCCATAAAAGGCACTCGCTAGGGACTCAGAACTCCCAAGGCAAGACTAAGGAGGCAGGTTATAGCCATGGCACATAGAAGAAAACAGACACCGGAAGATTTTAAGGTCACACAGCTAATAAGTGCCAAGGCAGAAAGAAACCAGATCTGATGGCAACGCCTGTTCTCTTTCTATTCTCTTTGTGCCCCACCTGCTTTCTTGAGAGCCAGTATGTGAAACATTTACATTTACTACACGTGAGACAAAGATCTGGGAAATGCAACAGTGTACAGTTACACCACGTAAGTAACAAATTAATCCCAGGCTTAGTATCCAAGCCAAACTTTTCCTTCCAGTACCATCTACCATACTTTATAAATCCACATCATTCTAGAGTTTTGTGCACTGCATTATTAAAAAAACCACATTGCACCCATTTTCTTAGGTCATTACCCCCAAACACATGTCTTTGACGGCCATAGAGATTTTGATCAGGATGTCCCCTAAACACAAACTCCAGCCTCCCTCTCCCTTCGAACAATCATGTTCATTCAGTCACTCAAAAAATACTGACTGAGCAACCACAGGCCAGGTAGTATTGTGGGTGTTGGGGATAAAGTGGCAAACAGGACATATGGGGTCCATGCCCTCACACGGTTTACATTCTAGAGGGGAAGATGAAAAACATATAGTGTCAGGTGCAGAAAAATGATAGGAAAAATGAAAGGGGAGGGGCACGTAATGATTTTAGTCTATCCTCATTATTTATTAGGTTGAACCACATGAAATTACTGATATTCAACCATTTCTAGCTTACAGAACAGGCAATTTCATTTGGTTCAAGCTAATAGCTTCATTTCATCAGGTAACATTCAATGCTTCTGATGGACTAGGGAATATTTAAATACCTGAAAAGCAGAAGACACACAGAACAGGACTGAATAAACCTTCCTTCCATAACAGTCAAGGTAGGAGAGGCGTTGGGTACAGCGAGCCCAGAGTTAACAGACTGGAAGAGTAGGATGGACTGAGGTGATGGTCAGGGTGAATGGATGGGGGACACTGATAGGAGATACCAAGTGGTTTACCCTCTGTGGTACTTCTCCCCACCACTCTGGCTCAAGTAGCAGACTGCAGTTACCTGTCTCCATCCAGAGCATTCTGGGAAGTGGTTACTTCCCCCAGGAATGGGAGGTGGGGGCAGCAGGAGGATGGGATCCCTAGGAGACCACCCCTTTTCTTATGACTTCTTCAACTACTTCTAAATGCAGAGAAAGCCCAGGATCTTGGCAGTCCATTATTGTTCAATATTTTGGTAAAGGAACATTATAGATTCCTTGTGCAATTAAGTAACAGAAAATCCCTAGCTCAGGAACCAACTATTGATCTTAACATCACGAAAAGACAACCAGACATTACGTGCCTCCTGATATGATGCAGAAAGATTCTCACCAAGAATTCAAACCTGGTTCCGATCAGGCCTCCCGAGTTAAGCACTGGTTTACGGTAAATAGAGGGAACAGGGGAAGACACTAAATGAGACTTAAGGATGCAATCAGTAAAATCCAGCATGTGGGGAGACTATAGGACAAAAAAGAAAAAAGGCCTTCTCTGGACCCTCATTTCAACAAACCAACTACAAAAAAAAAGTCTGTGGGACAATAGGGAAAAAGAGAACACTGCCTAGACCTCTAATACTAAGGAAATATTAAGTAATTTGTTTTTTAAAAAGTTCTTTTAAAGTTACAAACTGATAAATGTTGAAGCTGGGAATTAGGAACTTGAGAGTTCATGATGATTCTTCTATTTTGTATCTGTGGGCCTGTGTCCCCTTTCCCACAAGTCCCCACACATTGTCCACTTGAGCTGAGAACGATTGTACAGGAGGAGCCTGAGCATTTTAGACGACTGCTCACCTGTCAATGAACTGATCAATAATGACGATATCGCCAGGCTGAATCTCTTCCTTCAAGGAACCGCAAGCTGTGGTCACTATGACATGTGTACAGCCCTCCTCCTTCAGAGCCCAGATGTTCGCCTGATAGTTGACTTTTGAAGGCATGATGGTATGCTGCCTCCCATGCCTAAGGAAAGAGAGTAAATATATTAAATATGGTAGAGGAGTGAGCAGGGCATGTACACATTTCATTTTTATTTTTTGCAGTACGCGGGCCTCTCATTGCTGTGGCCTCTCCCGTTGCGGAGCACAGGCTCCGGACGCGCAGGCTCAGCGGCCATGGCTCACGGGCCCAGCCGCTCCGCGGCATGTGGGATCCTCCCGGACCGGGGCACGAACCCGTGTCCCCTGCATCGGCAGGCGGACTCTCAACCACTGCGCCACCAGGGAAGCCCGAGCAGGGCATTTTTAATACTCTTGGAAAAGAAAACTCATTTACAGCAGTGCCTTCCAGCCCTTCCCACCAAAATGCTTTCCTTGGCAGAGGAAGAGTGAGAACAGGCCAGGCAATAACCAGCCTACTTTAAGTATAAACTATGTGGTTTTAAAGTGCAGACTCGGGACTTCCCTGGTGGTGCAGTGATTAAGAATCCGCCTGCCAGTGCAGGGGACATGGGTTCGAGCCCTGGTCCGGGAAGACCCCACATGCCGCGGAGCAACTAAGCCCATGCGCCACAACTACTGACCCTGCTCTCTACAGCCCAAGAGCCAAAACTACCGAGCCCACGCGCCTAGACCCCGTGCTCCGCAACAAGAGAAGCCACTGCAATGAGAAGCCCGTACACCACAATGAAGAGTAGCCCCTGCTCGCCGCAACTAGAGAAAGCCTGCACGCAGCAACGGAGACCCAACACAGCCGAAAATAAAAATAAATAAAGTGCAGATTCAATGTACATTTCATAGTTTACTTTCCTATCAAGAGTAGGTAAGAGCTTACTTAGAATTCACTCTCCAGGAAAATATGCCATGTCTATCCTGTGGGGCACCAACACCCCAGAATCTGAGGCATCTGGTCTCTCATAAGCCATGACACAGAAAACAAGAGGTGCCAAGGAAGAAACACCCAAAATAGAAACTCAAGTTTCCAGTCTAATCTCTCTATTCTTTTCTGCCTGATCACCCAAAGAAATTAATGAAACATTTAAAATATTAGATTTCCCAGTTGTTTATGTTGACATCAGCAGGTATGGTCCAAGAATGGATCACCTCACTCATCATTACTGTTATGGGCTGAATTATGTCCCCTCCAAATTCTTAGGCTGAAATCCGAACCCCCAGTACATCAGAATGTGACCATATCTGGAGACAGGGTCTTTAATGAGGTAATTAAGTTAAAATGAAGTCATTAGAGTGGGTCCTAATCCAACACGAATGGCGTCCTTATAAAAAGACACAGACATACACAGAGAAGAACATGTGAAGATACAGGGAGAAGACAGTCAGGTACAAGCCAAAGAGAGGGGCCCGGAACAGATCCTTCCCTCCCAACCTCAGAAGGAACCAACCCTGCTGACCCCTTGATCTCCGACCTCTACCCTCCAGAACTGTGAGGAAACAAATTTCTGTTGCCACTCAGTCTGTGGCACCTTGTTATGGCAGCCCCAGCACACTTAACACAACCGCTAATGATTTCGTGTCACGCTTCAAACAAAATACAAACACTCTGCCATGGCGCTCGTATCATCTGGGCCCAGCCTACAAACAGCAACGTCAGTCCTTACCTTTATCCCTTCCCACCGGGGCTCAGCCTCACTGGCCTCGCTGCTTAGCTCCCACATCACCTCCCCAGAGGAGTGCTTTCCACGACCACTGCTTCTCCATCACATCACTACCCCCTGACCTTATTTTTCTTTCTGGCACCTATTGGCCACTCAAACTATATATTTCCTTCTCGGTGTCCATCCTTCCCACTAGCATCAGCCCTGAGACGGTGAGGCCCTTATCTGTCTTCCCTGCTGGTACCTAGAACTGGACTTGCCATATGAGTAGTTCAATCTGTTGGATGAAAAACTGAGTACTTACACACACACTCTTTCCCCCATCTCTCTCACACACCCCCACACACACACCCAGTGTGCCAGGAAACAGCCAGTAACGGGAACTTGATTTCTAAAATTATTTTTAAAACTTCACACGTTAGAGGGTATATTTATAAGCAGTATTTCACAGAGAGTTAAAATTATCCTGAGCTGTTTGAAAAAGTACGAACATCACAGGTAATGTTCTGCCACAGGAAGGCTAAGTGTCAAGAGACCAGTGGTCTTCACATGTGATAATATAGGAACAGGCTTTCAAGGAAGTAACAACACACAAAAATCTCACTTTGTACGATAATGATTAAAAGTTTGGGCTTTGAAGTAAAACTGCCTGGGTTCAAATCCTAGGTCTGCCACTTACTAGCTGTGTGACCTCATCAAAATCACTCAGCTTTCTCAGCCCCCAATTTTTTTTTTTGATCTGTAAAATGGATAATAAAAAACCCTGCACCACAGGGTTGCTATCCAATATCCCTTGTATCATTCCATATTGATATTTTGAAATAAACTTTAATGTCTCTTCTTCACCAACAACAGAATTAAGAATATGGAAATAATTTGTACATAATTGCAGACAAGCATTAGCATATGAGGGTTTTTACCCCAAGGTCATAAACGACCTCTCAGAAGGTAGAAGTCCATGAATGCCCAGAAAGTATGGTAGTCCCCGCTTATCCACAGGAAATGCGTTACAAGACCCCTCTGTGGCTGCTTGAAACTGCGTATAGTACTGACCTCTATATATGCTATGTTTTTTTCCTATACTAACAGGTGGGTAGTGTACACAGTGTGGATATGCTGGACAAAGGGATGATTCCTGACCCGAGCAGAGGGGGTGGGATGGCACAAGATTTAAAACTTATGAATTGTTTATTTCTAGACTTTTCCATTTAATACTTTTGGACCACAGTTGACTATGGGTAACTGAAACCGTGGATAAGAGGGGACTACTGTACATGCATTTTTTCTAAGGCTGGTCTCCAAATCTCTGATTAGATTTTCAAAAGAAATTCACATATCAAAAGGAGTTAAGAACCACTGCATGAAGTGGTTCACAGTCCGACACACTTCATTTCAGCTGGCAAGAGTATAAAACCTTCACCATGGGGCTACAACACGAACCATTTTCTCTTACAGTCTGGAAAAAATTAAGCGTTTCTCCAGCAGTGACCACAGACCAACAAAGAAGGTTGCCTGAAATCAACCCTATGCGACCATCTAGAACTAAAATTTAGTTTTACTGGACTCAGCAAAGCCACTTCCGTTTCAAAAATGCAGTGTGGCAGACAGACCCTAGGGTGGTCTTCATTTTCATGCTCTGAATAATTCCTTCCTTCTCGACTGTGGGTGGACCTGAGATGCTTCCAACCAACAGAACACAGCGGAAGGTGCTGGGAGTCACTCCCATGATCAGGCCCCAGCCTGCCAGCATGCAGTACCTGGCCCTCCTGCTGGCCTCGCAGCAGCAAGCTGCTGTCTTGTGAACTGCCCACGGGGAGGGCCACAAAGCAGGGAACATAGACAGCCTCTAGGAGCTGACGGCCTCAGTCCTTCAACCCTGAGGAACTGAGTTCTGCCAACTCCTACATGAGCTTGAACGAGGACCTGGAGCTCCAGATAAGAACAAGCACTTAAATATACCCATGTGACACAATATATACTTGTGTGACCCTGAAGAGGACCCAGATGAGCTGTGCCCACACTCAGGTTACCTGGAAACTGTGGGATAATGTATGCTATTTCAGTCTGCTAAATTTGTGGTCATTTGTTATGCAGCAATAGAAAGCTAATACATGCAGTCTGACTAATTTCTAACTGTGAAAAAATGACTTGCTCTTCTCTTTAGGGAACAGCACAAGCCTTGTCAAGGCAATAAGGGTGTAGACACCACCGAGAACCCACTTCAGTGACCCGAAACCCACTCCCCACAAATCTAGAACTATTACTACACAAGGGGTCATGAATGAAGCAGTTTTTCTTGATCTTGTTAACTAGAAGATAAAAGACAGAAAAGAACAAAAGAAAACATTTCCTCTTGCAGCTAGAACTGAAAGCAGAGCTTCAAGTTTAGTCAAATCGTTGCATCACTCATTGGATTGTTCTAAACATTTTCTCAACCTAAGGGGGGATAGGCAAGATCTTTAATCTCCAAAGTCAGTAAAACCTACCCTGAAACTGTAAGTGATAAAGATGACTCAGATGCTATGGCTCCACCAACACATTAAAAACTCATACCTGCATCATTACTCTTTTCACAATTTAAGTTAAATTTAAAATGTTCTTTAGTAGTAACATTCAAAAGCTTGAAATACGTTACCTTGCAAGGAGGACGCAATCAACATTCTTTATTTTCCCCAAAATTAAGGCATCAGAAGGCTGCACACAGTGAAAAATGGTTACAAGTCAGTGATTTAAAAACACATATAGAAACAATCAAAAAGCTGCCATTTCAATTGTTCATCTGTAGTAGGATTCATAGAAACTTGGGGTCTGAGGGTATATTTCAAAGAAGTAAAAGAGTCTAGATTTGATGGATCAACTTAGTCACTCAATATTTACTGAACCCTCTCTACCAGTACAGAGATTCGTAAGACTTAGAAGCATGCGTGGGTAGGAACCATTTAGTAAGATCTATTTGTAGCAAGCACCCCTGGGGACTCTGACGCCACACTGATCATACACAGATGTGTCAAGGCTATTTAGCAGGTTCAAGAACAGGTGTGAGAGTGGAATGCAAAAGGAATAGGAGGCCCCTATCAGGGAATTTAAGAACTCAGCACTGGAACCGTTTGCTGTGTTAACCAGGTCTAAGAAGGCCACAAGATGACCTCTGGTAATGGAGGAAAAAGTCTGAGAACCTAGGAGGTTAAGAAAACATGAGGCTAAGAAGTGAACAAGCTGACAGCAGGACTTGGAGGATACCGGATCAAATCTAAGGACTTGGCTGAAAAGGAGGGTTTGGTTGGGATTGCCAAATACAGGGATCTTCATAGGAGGATCAGAGGAACCACAGTATTTGGAAGTAGCCCTATGGAGTTAGGAGAAGGCAGACACCCTCACCCTAGCTGGGAGAACTAAACAGCCTCCTTTTAATAGAAAAGGAGGAGTGTTTTATTTCCAATTCAGTTATGCAGTTGTGTTCTCATTCCCCCAAAATCCCCCTTTGGGCCAGGGCTTACTAAGAAAAGGCCATTAGATATTTCCTCCCATTTGTTAAAGACTGTGGTATGACCGATAGGCCCCAAATTAGAAGCTGATTTGAATGCAGTGATCTGGAGAGTACAGTTCCTGTGTTTGAAATGAGCATCTGGCTTCTAGGGATATAATTAAGAAATTATTTGTACACATTTAAAAGCCATGTTCTCAGTAGTCAAGTCCAAGGCAATCTCAGGGATACTGTCTCAGTTGGCAGAGCCCAGTAACAGAAACTCCTGGCCTCTCTCAGCCTGGGGCAGGCAGCCCTGTGCTGCCAAGACAAAAGCAATTTAAAAAAATTTTTTAACTTAAAAATCAAGCCAGCAAGGAGAAAGAAAAAAGCTAGTATGTCTCCACTAACTGGATATTAACCTTGCCAAATGGAGTGTCCACATATTTTTCGGTTCTTCCTTCTAAGATTTCTGGATCATCCAGGCCTGTCCCACCAATTATTCCAATCTGAAGGAGACAATAAAAAGATATCACATTTGATCAGTTTGCAGTAGAAACAAAATCATTATTTTAAGCAAATTCGTTTATCCATACTCATATGCTCTTCTCCATTCCTGGTAAGCCCTAGTTATCTTAAAAATCTGAACATTCCTGAAAAGCAATCATTTATTCAGCAAACATTCGAAAGCCTTCTATATTCCAGAAATAACCAAAGCATGAGTCACCTTTTCGGACTAAATCACATTTTTGCTGACTATCTAAATAACAAATTAGCATGGAAACGTACTTCAACTAGTTTAAATCATAAAGCCAAACCTAAAAATAGGTAAATATGGTTGGAGAAAGTACTTTCTAACCAATTTTATTATCTCTACTAAATGCGTGATGGAATAAATGTTCAAAAAACAACTAGGATAGAAAATATTCAGCATTTCCATTTGGTAAGGATTTCTCCTCATTACTGCACTTGATAAAGAAACGAGAGATTTTCTTTCCTATGCCACTAAAATCAGAGCTGTAAGGGATCACAGATAGAGGAATCTGGAATAGCATGAAAAGTTAGCCTCTATATTTATGAACTCCAACTGTCATTCATATACATGTAAATGTAAGTAATTCAAAGGTCTGTAGTTCCAAATTATTTTCAAGTGTCTTATTGCATTTTCCAGACATTAACTTAATTGTCCTCGTCTTCAGGAAGTAATCTGAGTCTAAAAACCCTGATATTAACCTATAGAGTTAATCTAATTTGATGATTAAGACACCTGAACAAAAACAATTACAAAGGTAACTAAATATATTAACTAAACTGTTAACTAAAAATGAAATAACTGAAATCATTAGGAAGGTTTCCCTGAGTTGATACTTCCTAAAGGAAAAATACTATTTAAATTGTCAGCAACAGGCTACAGAGATGAACTAGAAACCTAATAAAAAGTCACCTGAGCATTTTTTTTCAATGAACAGCTTTAAATCTATTGTCACTTGAGTAAAATTTCTACTCAGCGGAAGTAGCTCCTTGAGAACAAAACTCCAAAGTTAAAAATTAACTGAACATCTGAATTAAATAATTTTGAGATCAGGTTACACAGTTGATTTATACTAGTATGTGGTAAAATAGTTACCTCTCTGGCCCTATTTCCTAGAAAAATAAATCAACAAAATAAGAAAAAGGGCGATTGAGTAAGATTTTTACAAAGAAAGGCAGGTTACATGATTTAGTACTTGGAAAGCATCCCACGACTTCAAGTGGCTAAACCAGTTTTTGAAGTTGCTGCCACCTTGTGGTACATTGTTGAAACCACAGCAGGTTACATATTCTACAGCAAGTCAACATTTTTCTTTGTTACAACTTAACATTGTAGGTAAAGACTAATCAATACAGGACTGCAGTTTTCAAATGAACAGAAGTGTTCACTTAAGTCAGTGGGTTTAAATTCATTTCAGTTCAGTAGAAATTTTTAAAATCGCACTATTTTATGAAATCCTGACCCATCCTCTAGCTGGTGTCTTTATCATTTCACGTAAGGCCGAAGCACCACAGATCATAGTTGGGATGGGGTAGGGGGTGCAATGAACTGTCCAGCCCATGTCATCACCTCAGACCGCCGAAATGAGTTGCTGACTTTGAAATTACTCTCAGCCTACCCTCTGGGGACTCTACTACTCATGGAAACGTCTGGTGTTTTTGCTTCCTTTTTTTAAAAAAATACTACCACTCTGACTTGGCTGTTTCTGGCCGTTCCCCTGGGCCATGGCATCTCGCATTCTGGATCTAACACTGGACTCAGACTCGTATATACAAAACAAACCAGACTTGGTTTTGAAACCACCCTCTGTTTAGGCAAGCCAGCCCAGCCTCACAGCAGTGAATAAGAAATGCCAGTTGGGGTCTTGCTGAAGTTCAGTGCCCTGGAGCCCACCCTCAGCAGCCCCAAACTTCAGCCCAAACCACTCTGGCTGCATGATGACCATGCACTGGGTAGCTGCTAACTCAGCCCTCAGTGAGGAATATTTAGTACTGGGTGTGAAAACAAGAGCCGTTACAGCTCATCAGAAAGGCCAGGATGTGTTCTCTGGCACTGGAGTTATCTGCAGGAGAGCCCGTCCAGTCAAACTGGCTCAAGTTGTTTCTCAAAACCCATATCTTGAAAGGGACACAGGACAAGTGTAGCAACTGAGTACAGCCACACCAGGGAACTCAATCCCTAACCTTTTTCTTGCTGCAGACGGAGGCCAGCAGTGCCAAGATATGGCAATGTCGCCACCTGCTGGCTCCATGGTAAAGTATAACTATGGGACGAAACTCCCAAGCACCAGTGGCCTGTCATTCCCCTCCAGCCTCTAAATTCAAATGGTCAACTCAGTACCTGCCTTGATAAAGTAACTGTGTCTTTGCATTTACATGTCACAGGCACTGTGGCCAAGTTCTCCAGGGGCCTTACCTCATTTAATTTTCACAACCACCCTGTAAGATGGGCCCTATAGTGTAACACCCATTTTATAAAAGAGGAAAGAGAAACACAAAACTTAAAAGAAATTTGTCCAAAGAGCAAATTATAAAGAGCAAAGCTGGGATTGGAACCCAGGTCTTTCATACTCAACCACTATGATGTACTACCTCCCAGTATCCCCTGGAATCCTTGATAAACACCACAACCTATTAGAAATTTGTCTCCATGTTATGAAGAAACTGGTCCTCAGAGTTCAAGTTCTGGACCAAGGTCACAGAGCAAGCATGGAAACAGCAACTCTGGGCACCTGAGTGAACCACCTTGGAAGGGAGGGGGCTGTCCATGCATGATCTCATGCATACTTACCAGGCTTCCTAGGCCAGAGGCATTGCCCTCAGTCCAAGCAGTCCTAGGAATGCTTAGGAAAAGTGTTCAAGGTCTGAGATGGAATTTCTGGGCCAATTCTGCCCAGCCAGGACTTCTTCACTACACAAGATAAAGTTCTGAAATAAGGACCCCCTGGTCCATCAAGGCCATTGCTAGATTTTAACAGCAAGTTGATTCATCCCACACTTTTCCACTTGCAGACCACCAAGTCAAACTCCTCAAAAAGAAGAGATGGTTTGACTTCCTCTCTGAGACTGTGTAAGCATTTTATCTAAATGTTGGCTTACCCAGCCAGAATGGTTACTTCCAACGATGCCAAAAGGGTTCACACCAACCCCTACCCTATGTCCACTTCCCCTGGTACCAGCCACAGGAGATTTCACATACCCCACTTGGTTTCAACAGCCATTCACCATCACTTTATACTACATGGAGGAACCTAGCACCCCATGAAGTGGAGAATTTCATTCTTTTCTTATGGCTAATATTCCATTGTGTATATATACACCACTTCTTTATCCTTTCGTCTGCTCATGGGCACTTAGGTTGCTTCCATCAACATTTGTTATTTGTAGACTTTTTGATGATAGCCATTTTGACAGGTGTGAGATGATCTCATTGTGGTCTTGATTTGCCTTTCTTTGATGATTAGCCATCATCAAAGGGCAGGATTTGACTGTTTTTGGAAATAGGGTCTTTGAGAAGGTAATTAAAATTAAATGAGGTCTTGGTGGGGGGAGTGCTAATCCAAAATAACTTCAGGTTCAGAACATCTGTAGTTTTTAATTTAACCAACCTCTCCTTGCAAAGTCAAGATATTATTCTAATGGGCAGACACCCTCTTTGAATATACAGTTCACTTCCCGAAGTGGTCAGTGACTTTTTGAGGAGGATTTTCCTCAAAGCTTACTGTACTCTGTAGCACTCTCCTTCACTTGTGGAAGAACATAGGATTCTTCCTGGTGCTCCTCCTGGGTCAGCTGCTGGATACTAGAATCCCCAGGGGAGCTTTCAGTACCAAAGCCCAGGTCCCAGATTCCAGATATTCTAATTGAGCAAGACAGAGTTGTTATTTTTCTTAAAGCTCCTCAGGTGGTTCTAATGTGTAGCCATAATTGAGCACCCTTGCTCTAGGGCCCAGATCATCAATTTCTAAAATCTGGGCTAGCTGAGCATCATAGGCTGAATAATGGCTCCTGCAAGAGAGCCTGTCAGCATTCTAATTACGAGAACCTGTGCATGTTACCTGTGTGATTAATGATTTTGAGATGGGGGCATGATTCTGGATTATCTGGGTGGACCCTAAATGTAATCACAAGGGTCCTTTTAATAAGATCGAATGAGGAAGAAGGCGATGTGATGATGGAAGCAGGGGGAGAAAAGGCGATGTAATGTAGGGCCCAGAGCCAAGGAACGCTGGTGATCTCTAGAAGCCGGAAAAAGCAAGGAAACATTCTCCCTTAGATCCTCCAAGAGGACCTGCCCTACTGACATCTTGATTTTAGCTCCATAGGACTCACTCTGGACTTGTGACTGCTAGAATTGTTAAGCGACTACACCTGTGTTGTTCTATGCCATCCAGTTTGTGGTGGTTGTGAGAGCAGCCAAGGAAACTAGTTCACTAAGAAACACCTGAGGAACTTGTTAAAAATGCAGATGCCCAGCCTTTTCAAAGCTCCATGGCCAATGGTTATCACATTTTAGCGGGTACCTGAATATACTGAGGCTCTTGAAAATCCAATTTGCTGCCCACCTCCCTATTTCAGATTCAGCAGGATTGGGGAAGGGCCCAAGAATTTGCATTTCTAACAAATTCCCAGAAGGGTGCAGATGCAGCACAGGCTTTGAGAACTACTGCTTTAGATGCTTTTGAGGCACAGACTAGAATACCATGATTATAATCACAATCAAAAAACCTTCCTCAGGGATTTCCCTGGTGGTGCAGGGGATAGGAATCCGCCTGCCAATGCAGGGGACACGGGTTCAATCCCTGGTCTGGGAAGATCCCACATGCCGCGGGGCAACTAAGCCTATGCGCCACAACTACTGAGCCTGAGCTCTAGAGCCCATGAGCCACAACTACTGAGCCCACGTGCCACAACTACTGAAACCTGTGTGCCTAGAGCCCGTGCCTCACAAGAGGAGCCACCTCAAGATGAAGCCCGCGCACCACAATAAAGACCCAAAGCAGACACACACACACACACACACACACACACACACACACACACAAACCCCTTTCTCAAAGTAACAACAACAAAAAAGCCCCCATCTCTGTTTTTCTCTGCTGCTCAGGACACCAACCTGGCTACTTCTTCATCTCCTCACCAGGCGGTCTCTGTCTCAGGGATTTATAGCCCAGGGGTCCTCAACCCAGTGCTGAGGCTCTCCTGAGAGGTGCCTGGAAATCCACGGGGAAATTTCTGGCTGCCACAATGACTGGAGGGAGTGCTACCAGCATTTTGTGGGGAGAGGGGACCCAGGATGTGTTCTATGTCCTACAATGCTCAGGACAGTTATACTAAGGGAGGAATTGTCGTACCCCAAATGGCATTGTGTCTCTAGGCAAAAAATGAAGGCTCATTGGTCATTTGGTTTCTGACTGGGGCCTGTGGGTTGTCCACCAGTTTCTGAAGGTCACTCAAGGACTTTCAGTGTGAAGGCCTTTGCTGGCCGCACTCAGCCATCGAAAAGGAGAGTTTCAAAGGCCTGTTCTCCACAGTCTAGACTTGCCCATCCCCCTTAATATTGATACCATTTTGTTTATAGCCCACTACCCAACTATGATGGGACCATATCCCCTCCTTGTCATAGCAACCATGTAAACAAGAGTTATTTTTAATCCCTCAGAGTAAAAGCTGGGCAGCTGCCTAGGGGAGCCATGGCCCATTACAGGAGCCCTCTGGAATGCCAGAGATCGGTTCAGCCCTCTGCATGGCCAAGCATGCCACTGCCCGTGGCTGTTGCCGGAGGACACTGTCTCCCTGAGGTCCTCCCAGACAGTGGCTGCTACTAATACTATGGGAGAGTATCCACTGGGCATTCGGCAGGCAGCTTGCTTCATGAAAACACTCTACACTCCCCCTTCCTTAAGGCTGCATGACCTTTGTCAACAGAATAAAACAGGGCACAGGGACCACATGTCAGATTTCAGAAATGGCTCACAACAAGTAGTTGGTGGAATGCCAGGCTCTAGGCCAATTCTATCACTACCTAGGTCCAACTATAATTCTGGACTCCTTAGGTGACCTTTCTGGGCCTCAGCTTTATGTCCACAAAAAGAGGTTTGTGTGGTTATATGGTCTTAAGGAACACTCCAGCTCTATATTTTATGATCTGGGGATAGGATATGGTTTCCATTAGCTTATTTTGCTCTGGACACTAGCAGTTCATGTTTTCTATATAGGATGTTGCCTCAGCAGTCTGGCAGAAGTGGTGTAGGAATCATGGATTTGCAACAGCAAAATTATCACCTGTTCTAACCCCAAAGAGAGAAATCAGCAGGCAGGCCTAGCACTATTTGTACCTATTAATTTTATATTCAGCAGCTGGCCAAGAACAAAAATGTACATCATTCAATATTTACATCAGGGCTCTGATCACAGTGCCCATTCTGCACTTAAATGCACTGCACTAATTTTACAGGGAAACTGTGGTAGGGAGAATGCAAAACCAGGTTAAAGTGAGACTGTTTTAAATACCACCGCTCTCTATTTTTAATGTCACTTTAAGTGTATTCCTGTAAAGGAAAGGCAATAGTTTCCTGCCTGCCCACTGAAAACTGTGGCCTCTCATAATGTAATTTTTGGAGAAAAGATGTTCAAAATTAATCTCATCTCCCTCACTTAGAAGCACTACCATTTAATAAGTTTCAGCCATGTGCTAGAAAGACAATACAATTCTAACGTCCCAGCAAACCCTGCAGTAATGTTCCCATTTTACTGAAATGAAAAAGAGCTTCATAAAAATTCTGCTTTGTTCTCCATGACTGATAAGGAAGAGGCATTCTACAATATTTGTTTAATGCAAGATTCTTTTCAAAATGGCAAAGGGAATACAGTATCTAAATGTGACTGCAACTCTCCCCAACCCACCCCCTGACATCAAGTGTCTGAAAGCTGCAAGGGCCTACTAAGCTAATCACTCTGGTTGATTACACACTGATCTCAGAGATTTGCCTTCTCCAGGGGGAACTGAACACAAAACGCGGAGTCAAGAGAGAGACTTGAAAGGCGACGGGCCTTCCTATCTCACGACCAAGAATTTCTAAAGCCAAACAAGTCAACTGAGTTTTTAGCTGATCATAAACAGCCTGGAAGAGATCTTAACTTTGATCCTTTTTATTTCTGTGGACTGTAATTCTACAGTCTCTCCCTGCCAGACATCAACCAGGAAGAAGTGCGTCAAAACCCCAGGGAAACTTGTTGCAATCCTCGGAACTCGTGCCCTCCTCCGGCCAAAGCTCCCACTGCACAATGATGCCTTGTACCGAGACCTGTGAGGACCAAGGGCACAAGGAAACTGATCCCTAACTTTCAAGGTTGCCAACAAAGCAGTTTAAAGCCAGAGGCCTCCAAACAGAGAGTGGCCCAGCATTCCTATACTCCATTTCGGTGTTGTAAAAAACTCTCAAGAGTTCCTAAAGCAGAGAAGGCCTAAGTTTAGAACACACAAAAAAGCCGGAAGCTTGCAAAAGAGCAAGCATGCAGTTTTCCCACGTGGGCCGCGGGCAGAGAGCCAAGTCAGAGCGGAAGCTTTGAAGTCGGTCAGGGCTCAAGGAGCCCGTCTTAGCGGTTGCAGGTGCCCACCCACCTGGCACACCCGCTAGCCCCTGCCAGACGCATCTGCCCAGAAAGGTGCTCGGGAAGGGTTGGGCGCGGGCGCAGCACCGGTCCGCTGTCCCTCTCTCTTAACTGCTTGCCTACCCGCTGCGCGCTGCGGATGCAGCTGAGACCAAAGGTTGGGGGACGAATCTGCAATTGTTCCCTCTCCCCCGCTCGCCGCCCCTGGGCTAACCGGCCTCAGACCCTCCCCGCCGCGGCGGGGGCGCACTGGCTGGGCGCGCGGCCCAGAGGCGCGGTCCCCCCGAGCGGGAGCGGGATCGTACAGGGCACGGAGGACCGCAGCATCCGGAACGACTAATCTCACCTTCACGGCCGCGGGAGTGGCACCTGAGGCCATGGCTGCGCGAGGAAGGAGCGACGGCCTCGGGCGGGGTGGAGACGTGGAGCGGCGGAGCGAAGCGGTTTCAGGCGCTGGGCCCGTGGCCGACCAACGAGGTCCCGGGGGCGGCTGTGGCTCCTCCTCTTCCTCCCCGGGACAGCTGGATTGGCTGCTGGTGTGGGCTCTCCCCCGCCACCCCCCACCTCAATTTGAGGTTCCAGTGTCCCGCCCCGTTTGCAGACCTTTCTGGTTCTCCGTTGATTTTTTTTCGACCCCCAGTTATAACTAACGGGCTCATGATAGTGAGAATAATGGAGACCGCTGATTGAGTACTTATGTTGTTCCAGACTCTGTGCTTTGCACTTTAATCAGCTCCGTTAACCATCACAAGAACGCTACAAAGAAAGAAGAGCAGCACTCCCGGCTCCGCCTCGTCTCAGCTGCAAGCTCGGCCTTATCTGTAAAACCAGGCCCATTCTCGGTGCAGAAGTTCTCGCGGGAGGGAAAATCGTGGAGAGGAGGGAACAGGCTCTTCGCCAAGGTTACCTCCAGCTGCTAACGCGGGGCGGGGCGGGGCGCGGTTGGCTCTTCTTATCACCGTGACCCAACCGGGGGTTTGCTCCTTTCTGTTAATTCGTGGGGGACAGAGCAGGGGAGGGGTTGACCGAAGACTCAGGGATGACAAAAAGAAAATAAACAGAGTAACGTGCTGCTGGATAACCTTTCTGACCTACAAACTGGCTGTTTGAGGTCAGGCTTTCAAGGGGATAAAATATTACCTAACTCCCAGCCTGGGTCAACAGGGCCGGGGCCATCTTTAACCTTACCCACACCAGCCAAAATCCAAGCCAACTAGATTCAGAATCCAGACTCATGTCTTCATCACTCAACACTGGCTGGTCACCCACCCCCCACCCCCGTTATACCAGCCCTTCACTGGGATAATCCCTTACTCTCAAAATCCCCATCCCTTCTCTACTGGGATAATCCAATTTAAACTCCCTGGATGGATTAAACTCTTCAACAAAATGCTGGGTGACAGTGATGTTCTGATATACAGAAACTTTGCAGATTACTCTGGGGGTGGGAGAATGGCTGTGGAAGGGTAGACTTTCCTCTTTCCCTATAGCAGTAAAACACTGAAACACGATGCAAGCATAATTTCATTCAAAACATCACTGGGTGCTTCCTGTATACTGTTCACTTAAACAGTAAAGACTTTCACTCTCTCCTTATCATTTGCTCTAGGTTTAAATTTTCTTGCAATGTAAATTTTCTTCTATTTCTTTTAAGTCATAAAATGAAATAGCAAAGAATAAAAGTAGAAGATTGGGGTGCTCCTTTGAAAGAGCAGGAGGCTGGGAGTTCCTCCCAAATGTAGTTTCCTAGGAGCCTGTCTGCTGCTTGTCCTATTGTTGGTAGCCCACTACTCAGAGGGGAACCATTGCAGGGACACAGATACTTGGGTTTTATGGCTGCTTCACAATTAGGGGATCTTGACCAACTTATGTGCTTTAATGTGACAAGCAAGTCCAGTTTCTACTCAGCACCGCCTCCCTGAGGAGAGTTAGACCCTGTAAACAAGTTAAATCCTGTAAGCATTACAAGACCCCTAGACAAAGAAGGAGTTGGAAACCTGGAAGGGTTAAAAACAAAATTCAACTGAGTAAATTGGAAGTCTGACTAGCTTTATTAGGCAATTCATAAGGGCAGCATCCCACCTAGCTAGAACTAGAGTGCTCTCAGAAGTGTTGTACACAATGGAAGGTTTTTATAGGAAGAAGGATGGGGCAGGGAGCTATTAGCAAAAGAAAAGAAATGATTATTTTTAGGCCAGGATATCTTTTTGGATGGAAAGGACCAGCAAGGGTTTTATCATGCATATTGCCTCTTCTTCCTCAGTAGTGGGGGAGGGGAGGAGGGAGAGATGGATGGAGAGGACCCTTGTGACAGATTACCTCATTGGTGCTGATCAGAAAATTTCAAACTATTTCTGAGGAAGGTCGAAACTGCGGTTAGGTTAGGTATTGAGTCTAAGTTTGGTTTCATGGGCTTTTAGCACAAGCAAGTGATGCCATTTTGGGCTTGTGGTTTTCTTTTTAACAGGGCTAAACTGGACTTCTGGACTTTTCTACTTTAAATTTCAGGACAGGGCTCAAGCATTTGCTCTTGAACTTGTGATGTCTGTGAAGGGAACAGTGTCCCAAGTCTGGTCTGGTTTTTTGAGTGATGTAATTTATAAGCCATTTCTGGGAAGAAATTAGCATTTCTAGACAAAATTTAAACAATTTTTTAACTTCTCAGAAAACAGGCACCCACCCACCAGCTGACTGTAAGGCACTATTTTGTTCTTTGTGTATGGGGCATGGAGTTCAAGACAAATTGATCCCCCTTCCAAGGGGACTCTAGCAGTTTTCATCATTATGCATTTTGAGAAAAGAGCATACAAATATTAGAAGCATGGGACTGGCCTGCTGTAGGTAATTTGAACTGACAACAACCGCTGTAGAGTTTTCTTAATAAAAGAATCGATTTTAGAAGAACATGTCAAATTAAGTTTTCAGAAAGTTAAAAACATTCAAACAAATAAATAGTTGGCACATGTCAGAGATGTATTTAACTCATTAATAAAGGAACCAGCAGGATGACAAAGCTGATTCAAAGGAGGATGTAAGATGCTGCAACAGCAGAAAAGAGAATGTTAGAATAAGATGGAAAAATTAGATACAAAACTGGTATATATTTTACAAGGCAATAAAACTCTAGCCTTCGGGGTTATCATGTCTGTGAACAGATACCACCTGCATCTTCAACTTCGAAAAAAGATTGTCACTTATCTATCTTAACAAGCAAGATATCTACCACCAGAGTCTGAACGCTTATCAGTAAGAAACAATAAAACAAAGTTACAGCACTTAGGTAAAGGGTCTGCAAACCTTGCCTACAAAGAGGCAAAAATTGAGGAGTGTGTGAAACTCAAAAACATAAACAATATCTGATTGAATGAGCCTGGCTGTATTCCAGTACAACCTTATGGATGCTTAAATTTGAATTTCATATACTTTTCACATGTGACAAAATACTAATCTTTATTATTTTTTTAAAATCTTTATTGGAGTATAAATGGTTTACAAGGGTGTGTTAGTTTCTGCTTTATAACAAAGTGAATCAGTTATACATATACATATGTTGCCATATGTCTTCCCTCTTGCGTCTCCCTCCCTCCCACCCTCCCTGTCCCACCCCTCTAGGTGGTCACAAACCACCGAGCTGATCTCCCTGTGCTATGCGGCTGCTTCCCAATAGATATCTATTTTACATTTGGTATTGTATAAATGTCCATGTCGCTCTCTCACTTTGTCACAGTTTACCCTTCCCCCTCCCCATATCCTCAAGTCCATTCTCTAGTAGGTCTGTGTTTTTATTCCTGTCTTACCGCTAGGTTCTTCATGACATTTTCTTTTTTCTTAAGTTCCATATATATGTGTTAGCATACGGTATTAGTCTTTCTCTTTCTGACTTACTTCATTCTGTATGACAGACTCTAGGTCTATCCACCTCATTACAAATAGCTCAATTTCGTTTCTTTTTACGGCTGAGTAATATTCCATTGTATATGTGCCACATCTTCTTTATCCATTCATCCGATGATGGACACTTAGGTTGTTTCCATCTCCGGGCTATTGTAAATAGAGCTGCAATGAACA